CTCAAAAGAAGGTAGAGATCTTTATACCACGCACAAAAATAATTCAAAATGAATCAAAGACCTAGATGTAAGAGCTGAAGGTAAAAAACTTGTAGACAAAATATTAAGGGAAAGCTTTACGACATTGTGTTTGACAAAGATTTCTTGGATATGACTCCAAAGACACAGGTAACATAAGGAAGAAAAGATATACGGAGTTACATCCAAACTTAAAACTTTGGGGCCTCACTGGTGGCACAAGGGGTTAAGCATCGCACTATGAAGTAACCCACAGCCTCTGTAGCATGAGTTTGATCCCTGGCTGTCCAGGCAGCAACCCACATGGCGAAGCAGACCTCTCTCTCGCCTGCTGTTCCCGTCAGCAGTGTATTTCAGTCAGTCTGCCTGTTCTGTTCCCCGCTCTGTCTCTGGTGAATCCTCTCACCCCCTGCACTCTGGTCTGTACCCCAGCTCTTGTATGCATAGATAAATAAATCTTAAAAAAAAAACTTTAAACTTTTCTGCATCAATGGACACTACTTACAAAATGACTGGGAGCATATATGTGCAAATCATTTATCTGCTAAGAGGTTGATATCCAGAGTATGTAAATAACCCCTACAATTGAACAACAGCAACCACAAAACAATCTGAAAAATAAGGTTATTTATTTACTTAATAAATATTTATAGGTCACTGCCTGCATGCCAGTCTGTGTACCAGATGTTAGGGTGTACTTATGGACAAGCCTGATGTCATTCCTGTCTTTATCAATCTGATCACTTGGCAGAATAACATTACCATCGGTTGAATACCAAATACATAGCAGGAATCATATATCCTTTATTTCATTTTATCTTCAGGTGGTGGGTGTTATCATGCTCTTATTCAAGATAAGGAAACTAAGGCTCAGAGAGCTTAACTTTCTCCAAGTTCATGCCATTAGCAGGGCATGATCCTTGCTATACTAGGCATGCTCATTAACAGTGATTCTCTTAATTACTGGTGTTTAATATCTGCCTTCTTCTTAGGATATCCACAGTACACTTTGCCCCATGAAAGGAGTGAAAAGTTCAGCAAAGTAGCCTATTTTACATGCTATGGACTTTGCTTATTCCAAACTTGGAATGATATAACCCCTTCTTTGTGGGGTGATTGGGGTAAACCCCCATTAATGAGGGATGGAGTCTTTCTCCAGAATATAACTACAACACTGAAGAGAATTAAAAACATATGGGCATATGCAAAACTTGTGTATTATGAATATTCATAGCAGCATTATTTATAATAGTCCAAATGTGGATACATTTCAAATGTCCATCAACAATTAAATGTGGATAAACAAAGTGTGGTATATCCTTATAATAGAATATTATTCAGCAATAAAAGAAGAGTGGGATTTGGATAGCTGGTACCATGTGGATGAACTTTGAAAACGTCATGATAACTAAAAGAAGTCAGACACAAAGAACACATATTCCATGATTCCATTTGTATGAACTATCCAGAGCAGGCAAATCCAAAAAGACAGAAAGCAGATCTGCAGTTGCCAGGGGGCCAGGGGAGGGGATGAAAGGAAAGTGACTGCAGGCAGTGTGGGGTTTCTTTTTTGAGATGATGGAACATTCTGGAATGAGATAGTGGTGATATTTGTCCAACTTTATGACTTTACAAAAAACCATTGAATTGGACAGGTTAAAATGGTGACATTTAGGGCATATGAATTTAAATCTCAATTAAAAACAAAAATACAATCACAACAAAGTGTACTGGGAACAACAGACCATGGAACCCTGGCCTGTTGCTTTGCTGTTTCATACTGCAATGCTGATGGGGCATCAGAGCTCCTCAGGGTTGCCGTCCCCTCAATAGACACAATCCCTCCCCCCGCCCCCTTCCCCTATCCCATATCCTAAGCAGAGAAATGAGACAGGAACAGAAGAGTAAGGGCAAGGCTGGAAATTGAGAGCATCAAAGTGTCCACATGGGTGGTATCACACACACTGTTGGACTGTTTATCTACTAGATCTCTTAGTTAGTCTATTTTGACAACAGTCAAGGCAAAGTTCCTAAACCCCTTTTCATCACTGGAAGGTTTCCATTCCCACAATTGATTATGCCATGTACTTGGCAGAGAGGTTTCCTTTTATTTGAATGACAGCAGCTTTACCTGGCTTGCAAGGAATTATAAGGACTCTAAGTTACTGAATTATAGGATTTTAGATTTGAAAAGGACTTCAGAGAGCGATCATTTGACCTGATTCTCTTACTTTGGATACAGGGAAACTGTGGCCCAGAGAAATGCAGTATCTTCGCTGACTCTGCAGGCTGTTTTGCAATATCTGTCCTCTCTTTCTTCCCTGGAAATGATCTTCTTCCTCAGCTATGCACATGACTGTCTGAAATAAGAACTATAGTTCCTAGAGAGATGCAGTTGTATAACAATTTCTAACCAAGGAAGGTAAATGGAAGTGGCATGAACAATTCCAGGGAAGTGTACTGAGAGATCAAGGTTTGGAGTGGGTCATGACCGTCTTCTTTCCTGCTGGGTGGGGTGCAGTTTAGATGGCTAGCATTCTAGCAGCCATCCTGGAGCTTGAGGAAGAAGTTACGTTTGGAGAATAGCAGAACAATATGACAGAATTCTGGGTCTCTGATAATTATGGAATTGTTATTCCAGTTTTAGAATGTTCATTTACAGATCTTATGTGGCAGAGAAATAAACCATTTTTATCCTCTCCCATTTCAGTTTTCTATCATTTACAGTCCAACTGAATTCAAACTGATTCAGATTATAGAGTTGGACTGGGAACTCAGGCCTCTTGAATCCAAGCACAGGACTATTAATCATGGTGATTATCATTATTAATAATAAAGCCATACTGTATTGTCTTGTATATATCAGCCACAGATAACGTTTGCACTTGATTTTAGCCAAAAGGCTGAGAAGCGATGCAGCAGATAACGTTTGAATGCTTACTGTACACTAGTCACTGTTTAAGTACTTTATAAGTGTCATTAACTCATTTAATTCTCACATCACCTCAGAAAGGTAGACCTATTATTATCACAATTTCCATTTTACAGGCAGAATCTGAGGCACCAAGTGAGTAACTTACCCAAGGGAACATATTTAGTATGATTTAGAGCTCAGATTTGAACCCAGGCAGTCAGGCTCCAAAGCCTGCACTCTTAGCTCCTATTCTACTCCCTTTATAACCTGAGCTTCTCATCATCCCCTTACCCATTTAACTGGAGAGGAAACGGAAGCAGACAATTGTTTAATCATTTGCTTAAAATCTCTGTAGTGCAGCTAACAGAAGTTACACTCCTAACTCTCAGTTCAGCGCTTTCTCCCTAAACACCCTGCAGCCTCAAAGACCACCTGGACAGATATATATAACCTCTCACCTCACAGCTCCCGTCAGCCCCCTAAAATTCTGTCTCTCTCTCTCTCCCCACCCAGCAGGCACCCAGACATTTTTGTGGCCAGGATGGCTACAACCTCCTTTGAAAAGCAGCCAGCTTTGCCCTCCACCAAATAACTTTGTTTTATTTATAGTCTCCTGCTCAGAGCTTTTGAACTGGCTGCTCATTCCAGGGAAGATCTTGATAACAACTGTTCCTTGGAGAGGGTTCATAGGAAACAAGGTGGATAAACACCACAGAGGGCCTGCCTGTCTAGCAGAGCTTTGCTCCTGGGGGTGTTTATAAGTTGGTGTTGGTGTCTGGGTGCAAAAGACTTTGAATTCGAAATGGCGGTTTGGACATTTTAACTTTTTTTTTTTTTTAATTCAACAGTGTTCACTCTTTGCTTTCAACAACCTCAGGGCAAAAGGGAGAAATTATCTTTATGCAGGAAGTAACTCCAAAAGACTTTTCTACTATACATCTTTTTGGTTTTCTTTGCTCTCTGACTGGCTGGGACTCAGGACTGTTTCTGTAGTGACTGCGGGGTGGGGCAGACACTCTATGATTTTGTAAGAGCTAAAATGGCAGAAAGGGTGCATGGTGTTTCAGAACAGAAAATTGTGGGGGAAAAGAAGCCGAGAAAAGCAAAGCCTAATTTCAAAGGTGATCTGTGAATCTGTAGTATTTCCTGATTTGTGGCCAAAGGTGCCACCAGAATAACTATGTCACATGTGTCTGGAATTATTAGGTCTGAATGCTAATCTCTGCTTCCACCTATCGCTATTTTTATGACCTTGAGCACATGTCTCAGTTTCCTCCTTGTGAAATGGGGGTATAAACTGACAAGATTATTGTGAGTACAGTTGCTAACTCTGTAGAGGAAATGCAGTGTCTGGCTTAGAGGAGGTACTCACCCACTCATTGAAAGGCAGCAGACAGAAGCTTGCTACCTAGTGATTCTTCCAGACCTAAAGGGGATGAGATTGGGGTGTCCCTTCAAGAGAACAGAGTGGGTAGCAGGTGGGTGACTGATCAGGTCAGGGACTATTAGGGTGCCATGAGCTTTCTGAATTGGCATGTAAAGTGGGTGACAAAGGGAGGCCAGAGCAGAGCCGCTAAATGGGTGCTCGGAAGCCCCCCAGGTGGCTTTCCTTGGGGGCATGTGAAGTCTAAAGGAGAGGACGAGCCTCCATCAAGGACCATGTTGGGGAAGGAGAGGGTGTGATAGTGAGAATTTACTGCAGGGTATGGGATTTTCAAAGGCCAGAGCGGGGAAAACCCCACGGGGGAAGCATGAGTCAAGGTCTCTGCCCCAGAGCTCTGGGGTTTCTATGGGATGACAGTCTTTTCAGGGGCTTACGGGTAGAGGTTTCCACGGGGGCGCACAGGGGTGGAGGTTTTTAGGGGCCAGCCCGGGGAGCCAAAGTCCCGGTGGTTCGGCGAGCCCAGCCAGGAGCCTGGCGGTGGACCCGGGCTTCTCGCTCCCCCCGCCCGCAGGGGCCCCGCCTCCCGAGCGGACTACATTTCCCGGCAGCCCCCGCGGGCGGCGGCGGCGGCGCGGGCGGGAGGGGGCGGCGGGTGAGAGGCGGAGGGGGCGGCGCGCGCCGGGCACGCGCGCCGGCGACCATGGCGTTCGCCGGGCTGGAGCGAGTGTACTAGCCCCGGGAGGCGGCGGCGGCGAGGGAGCGAGCCTCGAGCGGGCGGGCCCAGCCTGAGGGAAGGGAGGAAGGGGCGGGGAGAGCGCCGGAGGGAGGCCGGTCGGCCGCGGGCGGGCGGGCAGCGCAGCGCCGAGCGGGGCCCGCGGGCCCATGAGGAGGCCCGGGGACCATGGGCTCCAGGATCAAGTGAGTCGGCCGGGCCGGGCGGAGCCGGGCCGGGCGCGGGGCGGCGGGGCCGGGCCAGGCAGGGCTGCAGGCCGCGGGCTGCGGGGGACTTGTTGCCGGGACCCGAGGGGCGCCCCGCGTGCCGGCGTCACGCGGGGAGGGGGCCGGTTGCCATGGCGACTCGGGCAGGCGCGGGGGCGGGGTGCGCGCGGGGTGGAGGGCGCGGGCGGTCAGGTGTCCCCGCCTCACCTGAGGGCGCGAGCAGCCGAGCCTGCCGGGTGGTCGCCTCCCGGGGCTTCACGGGGGCCTCCGAAAATGGTCAGGCAACTGTTGGGGGGAGGGCGAGAAATCTCCGGAGGAACTCCCCGAATGGGTGCGTTTGGGGCGCCCCTGAGAGTTAGGCAGGTCCGGAGCCGTTGCTGCCCGGCTGCTCAGTGGGAGGTTGCAGCCCGGAGGCTGAAGGCCTGCAGCCCCCGTGAAGTCGTGTGGGGCGCTGAGGGAGGGGCCGCGCCTGGATTTAGGGGCTGGAAGGCCCGGGAGGAAGGCCCTTGTCTCTCTCCCTCTGCCCCCCACCCCGCGACCCCCCCTCTTATCTGTGAAAGTCTCCTCACTGTCAGGGCCAAAGGCTGTGAAGGAAGATACCTCTCCTGTAACTGAGCACCTGATCTCGCTAATCCTTGAAAAGGTTTTGTAATCCAATCTGACAATTCCTCTCATTCATTCACCTGGAGTCCCCAGTGAGGGGTTAGTTTTCAGGGAAAGTTGTTGATACATTGAATTCAGAACCAGTGGAAACATTGTTGCCCCCCTTCCAGACCTAGAAGTTGACTTTGGAAAGTGCAACTTCGAAGCCGTCCAGTTTGGGTGTGTTGCTTTGGACTCTATCTCCCCTCCCAGCCAGGTCCTCTCGTGGCCTCTCCCTTCCTCAGCTCCAGAACAGGAGATGCCTTATCGCTAATCACTAAAGCATACTCACTTTTTCTCTGTGACTAAAAGAATTGCTGACGGGCATTTACAACCAACGTTGACAGCAAAGGCTTTTTCTTAAAACTTTCCTCTGACGCTGTAAACGTTCCTTCCAGAAAGTGTGTGGAATGTGTTTTATTTCAGCATTTTGAGAATTTTGCTAGGGAATGCTTGAAAGGAGAAGGGCCTGGCGGGTGAAATCTACTAATTATTCAAATATTGCATCTCGTGTCCAGTCAGTGGCCCGGCGGTATGACCCTTGTCCAGCCCGTCGCCTGACTGGCTTCAGATTGCCACTTACCAGCTGCGGCTACTATGTGGTGAGGCAGCCCCGAGACATCTGCTAAATGAAACTAGCTAAGTTTGCTTGTCATAGTGAAAATGGGAGTTGGATGAACATACTGTTAATTCATTATTTTTGTGGAAAAGAGGAAGGGGTGGGGTGAGAGTTAGAAGCATGCTCCAAATAAGAGCTTAAGAGGCTTGGAGTTAAAAAGAGGTGGTTTGTGACGCGTTGGGATTAAAGAGGCACTCCAAGTATACCTCCTGCTTCCAAGTAAGAGTTGTAAACTTGGATTTCAATAACACTTAGAAAACACTTTCCAGAAGCCATCTGAGAGTGGGCAGAGTGTGCTTGTGAGGATGCTTACCCCTCTCGTTATGGAGAAGCTCAGAAACTCCCCTGGTAGGAGGCAGTCAGTATCAGCACCAACACAAAACTCCAACCCGCGGAGGTACAGATGACTGAGGCATCAAGTCTCTGCCTTGCTCTGGAAGATTGCAGGTTCTCAAGTGCCTTTTGTGAGTCCCGTCACTGTAATCAAGTGACTGCTTGGGCAGGGAACTTACTAATGCATGAAATTGTATTAAGTGTGAAATTAGTATAAAGAATAACTTTCTTGATCTTGAGACTAGATAGCTCTTTGAAAAAAACTTGGGGACATGTTAGCTATACTTGTGAGACTAAAAGAGGAGGAGAGAAGCTATGAAAAGTAGTGGTGACTGTGCACTGTGCAGCTTCTGCCTGGAGCTGGGATTGGGGATAGACAGGTGGCGGCCAAACCTTCTCAGGTGCTGCCCTAGCTGGTGAAGGGAGCAGAGCCTAGGTTACTATGACTCTCCATCCTGACAGGAAAGAGCGGCTTAAGGTATTCTGCTGGCTGAGTTGAAATCTGGGAGTGCAGGTTCTGCTGTGGAGGGGGAAGAAGGCAGAGAGCACCCTGGGGCCTTCTGAGCTCTGCCTGCTTGTGTTTTCTCTTGCTTATATCTGAGACTGCATGGCTGAGTGAGACTGCTTATGTGGAATCAGATCAGGGTTCAAATTCCAGTTCTTCTGTCTACTGTGAAGCTTTGCACAAACTACCACACTCACCCTGTTTCCTTGAGGATAGAATGGGGGGGGGAGGAGACACTATGGTGTAGGCCTGCATTTAAAAACTGTCATTGCAAGTTTTCCTTCACGTGGTCAGAGAATCGTATATTTCAGGTAATGAAGAAAGTTTTGATGATCAAAGAATTACTCCTATGTGCAGAGTGGAATTTAACCTTCTCTTATTACTAGCAAATAAAAGTTGGTTAAAAACAACACTGTGTAATTTTGAAGCTGGTGTTTGCCATGTGGTTGGTGGTAGAGTAGGTAAGTTGTGAGGCACAGTGTTGAGATTTAGTGCTTGGTCAGACTTTCCTGTCAAGCTGAGGCTGGTTGAATACAAGCTGTGTGTCAGGCACGGTGGCAGTGCTGTATGTGAGCCATGTCAGCAGATCTTCACAGCTGTTCAGGGTTGCAGGGACTATTTACCACATTTTCAAATGAGAGAATCAGAGGTCATAGGCCTGAAATCAGAACTGCCAGAATACTGGCTCCCTACTTTCCTACCCCCAACCTTCCCTAACCAAGGCCAGCTACCCCTCATCTGATTACCTCCTCCCTAACCTATGCACCTCTTCCCCAGCCTAGGTAGGCCAGGTATCCCTCCTTTGTATACCCCCTCCATTGGCCAGGCCAGATGTCCCTTATCTGTTACCCCCTCTAACCCCCCGCCCCCAAGCTGAACTCTAGGGTCTGTCATCTGTGTGCCCCCTGCATAGCCTAGTCCAAATGTCCCTCATCTGTGTACCTGCGCATAGCCTGGCCCTGGTGCCTGTCATCTCTCCTCTTCGCTACATTGCCTAGGCCCTGGTGTCCCCCATCTGTGTCTGTTAATGTTCTAGCAGTAAATCAGGTCCTTGTCTGTCTTCTGTATTAAGCCCAGCATGAATGTCTGGAGAGCAGGGACTTTCTGGTTCCCCGTATCAGATTCAATGCTTGGCTTGTAAGGTGGTTTAGGAAGAGTTCATGGATGCATTTAAGAGTATATTAGGATCTGAGTTAAGATCTCTGAGTTGAGTATACATATAGTTAAAAAGAACCAACTTGCTACTTAAACTCTTGAGGAGGAAGTGTTTTTATGTTTTATAAGTCTTTAAGCTAAATTGCCTTGTTTAGTCAGACTGTTCCTTTTTCTCCCCCTGAAGTGTGCTTAGTTCATGTTCATTTAAATAAAGGGATATTATCTTGTCTCAAACTAAATGTCTACTTGACAAAGGAAAGAAAAGTTCACCTGTTTACAGGTAGTGCTCTGAAAAGCTCCTAAACCTTAAACCTGAGTAGACATTTATTTATCTAGAGGGTGAAAGGAGCAGTGGTAACTGGCACTCTTGGACAGGTATGTTAAATCTTATTTAGTATTTGAGTGATCCCAGTGGACTGGAATGTGGTTAATATGAAGCAATTTAACTGAGAATGTAGACACACAGCAGGAAATGATGTGGCAGTTTAATATTGCTTGTGGTGACATCCTAGAAATTGTTTCCAGGCACCCAGGCAGGAAGTGGATTGTAAGTAATCGAAGGAAGTATTCTAAGTGAGTTTGAAGAAACCTGACATTTATGGACTCAGAGAAAAGCACACTCTAAGATTTGAAGTCACAGGACCAGGATGAGGCAGCTGATTTGGCCTGATGGTGCGTTTATTCTACGTTTGCCTGTGGACCTGTCTTATGTCCCTGTCAGATTGTCACCTCTAAGGTTGGGTACCAAGAAGTGTGTCCAGTTATACTCACTCAATATAGAACTAAGAACAGTGACAAGCTCGTTTTAAGCACTCAATAAATGCTAGTCATCATTACTACCATAATTAGCAGTAGTAGTAGTAGTACTATGTTATGCTCCTGGGAGTATGCTAAGTACCAGGCAACAAAAATGAAAAAAATTCACTTTGCAGAGTAGCAGTGAGATAGAAATGTAAAACCAAACCAACTCCTCCAGGCCCCCTCTCCACCAAAAAAACCTGAGTTCATGCAGTAAGATCAGTCTTCTGGTAGCGATGCCATGGGTGATGAAGTGAAGGAGAGACTGTTTTCTGAGGAGGTGTCAAAAAAAGCTTGCTTCATCAAGGAGATAGTGTTTCCTCTGAGAAACGAGAAATGAGTTGAGTCAGGGTATAAAGAGGCCGTGATGTAGGTTGGCGGTGGCGTGGTGGTGACCGGGCCTAGCCAGTGGTGGGGGCCTCAGTCGAGGGGGTAGTATGTGTGAGGCCACAGCATGTTAGGGAGGTAAAAATTATTGATTCCCATTTATTAGGCACTTAAATGCCAGGAGTTGTGCTAGACATCGGGGATTGTCACAGTGAATAATACATATTCATTCCTATTCTTACAGTTAAAGTCTGGGGGACCTGACAAGATTTGGGGGGAAAAATTCACAGAAAACTGTGTGGCTATACTTTATAGGAGCCAACAAGATGCTGAGAGGATGATGAGAGCGCCTGTCCTACTTTAAGTAGAATGGAGAGGAAGGCCAACTGGGGAGATGACACTCAGACTGAGACTGAAGGGGTGAGGTGACCCCAGTCACGTTGAGACTGGGCAAGACCAGAGGGTCCAGCCCACAAAGGCCTGGACCCATATCAGACCCTTAGAAGGCCAGTGGGTTTGAGTGGTGACAGATGGCAGAAGGGTTTAGGTCAAGTCAGGGCTTCGTAGGCTGTGATCACCCAAAAACAACTTTATTAAGAT